TCATGCTCTTAATGGTTTTCCTTTACTTTTTAAAAGCTACAGATGGTTTTAATATTGTTAGTAGGGTCATGCTCTTAATGTTTTTCCTCCACTTTATTAGTTGTCGAAATAAAGGGCATAAACGACCTAAGCTATAACCCCACATTACTCAACCTTTCACATCGGCGAAAGACGACCGTGTGAAGTTTACAGGAAAACAAATATAGTCGTGTGAATATGTGAATAAAACGTTTAATTCATTCCCTCGCGGCGTTTAATTTTTTTCACATGGCACGTTGTGTTGTTAAAAAGACAAAATACGTTCAACTAGAGCGGAAAAATCTGTAAGAATTTCCTAGTTAAAAATTCAATCCCGTTGAAGTCAGCGTATATGCATAGGCAAAAAAGTCCCATAGGTACAATAATAAAGCGAGATTTTCAAATAACTGGGTTGTGTTAGGGGGCTGTCAGTTTGGCAATTCTAGTGTCACCTTTGCTGTGAAATGTTTTCCATCAAGCCAAGTCAATGTAATAGCAAGTTAATTCAAGTCTAGAATAAAATCTGTTTCTTTCTCCGTCCTTTGTTAAACAAATAGTGAAAAGACGAGAAAATTGAATTCGTCCATACGTACTTAAGTAAAGCAACTGTCACAGTTTGATTGACTTTCAATCATGGAAGTGACATTTCTGTATTTTTTGGGAACAATTACTTATTCAAATTTTTGAAGGTTTGAAGCTGTCATGAAAGCTCCAGCGGAACCACAAACCAAATGATGAAACTGTAACCAGGAATCGAGAAACGTATGAAGTAAACCGATTTACTAAAAATCGAAAAACAAAAAGTAGTCTTTTTAGCAATTTGTGCTATAAAGGTCTTGGGAATCTGACATTATCTCCGCTTTGATCTACACTATATTTTCTTCTGTTGGCCAGGGACGTACTGAAATTGTAGCAAACAAGCATGGACACAGCATTTCAGTATATTCAAATTTCTCCTTTTTGCATGAGGAATGAAAAAATAATTTCTCTTAATATGGTCCAAACCGTTAATTGTTCCTAATATTGTTCTCTTCAATTCTTGGCTGAAAGGATATCTAGTCTCAAGAGGTGCGCATGTGTGAGATTAAATGCATCCATGTCAAATATACATTCCTGGTGCCTTTGATTGAAGAGCTTCCAACAAAAATTTGATGGTTGTGGGAATCATAGAACCTTACCTCCCAGTGAGAATGATTATTTATTATATGGATACTGATGAAATACCAGGATTTTTTCTTTTACTAAAAAATTCATATCTTCATCGCGCGCAGTGAAGATACTATTTTCATCTATCACGTATGAGGATATTGGTGTCACCATGGTTATTGACATGATTATACTATTTTTTCATTAGAATTTTGACTTTTTGGAACAGAAAATAGAAAAATATAAGTATTATCGTCTTCATTTCTCCTTTATAACTTTCTGTCCAAGTTTCATAACATTTTTGTGACAGGCATTTT